GAGTGGGGAGCAGAACAGGAAGATCGACCAAATACACTGCTGAGAGGAGCAGCGGGCAGGTCAGGAGAAGTCTGCTGGGCCATGTGGGGATTGAACTAGCACTGAAACAGCTGCAGCTAGCTTGCAGAGTGCTGTGCCCTAACTCGTTGCACCACCAGGGAGGGTAGGGTGTGCAGTCTTACCAATATATACATACATATGTATACACACACACACACACACATAGCGCCACACTCACACCAGGCCTCTTCTTGCATGAGATGACCAATAAGAGTCTCTGCTTCTGCTGAAAGATGTTGCTATAGGGGAACCCATCCAACTATGTATCATCCATCTAGTCCATCCCCTTTGTGTATGGAGTGGTGTGGGGAGCTAAAGGGGCTTTTAATGAGAAAACTTGGGACAACATGGACACAAACAATATGACCTTAGGACCTGGGGACCAAAATACTATACACAACTTGCTGGAAAGTATTGTTCTCTTGCTCCATGAAGCTTTGGCAACCTAGGAGTTAGTATCTAGAGCCGCTCTAGTGACTTCTGAATTGTGGACTTGACAATGACCCTCAAATGAGTCAGTCTCCTTGCGACTTGGAGTAGGACAAGACCAGAGGGTCTTGCAGTTATGCACTGAATTTGTACCTGCAAGCTATGGAGTAATCAAATTGTTGATGTGTTTTCAAACTTTAGTGAACTTACTTGGTTTTGGCCCAAACTGAAAATCTTAGTATTGGATTTTTTGGCTTTTGAAATCTCTGATCAGATATTTGGGGTCTCTGGAAAGTTGGCTAACTCAACTTTGGAGATTAGCATATGCTTGCAAATCTACTTTTAGAAACTGTATTAGTAATAATAATAAGGAACAACTGTATATACCAGAAACATTTTATGGGGGGGAGTGGGGAAAGTACACTAGACTATAGTGATGGCATATGTGTGATTTGGTGGTGGGATGCCCATAGGAATTACAACTGAGATGGAAAAAGGCACTAAATGATGTAAAAAAAAACATATTATTAAAAAAAAAATACTGGGAGCTAGAATCTTAACCTTACTTGGTGGGAATAGAATCTGGAATGAATGAGATGTGGTTATCCATCTCCATCCTGCTCATATTCCATAAAGAAGCCTGTTCTGGAATGCTTTTCATACTCAAGAAGGTATTGAACATCAAGGACAATTCTGGGGATATGCTGGTAAGAATAAGGAAGGCATACCGCAAAAGGAGTAGCTGAAGGAGTTGGAGATAGCTTGCAAATAATGAACAAAGGGTGGAAGACCATGGGGAGCATACTAATTAATGCCAAATATTTGTTTGCTGGGTAATGGGATCCATGCCATGTGACTTTCTCTTCTCTCCAAATTGGCGACTTGGTGGTAAGCTGCCTGCAGGCAGAAACCATAGCTTATACTCTTTAGATACTGCTCAACAGGTCCCACACACATGTTTTGTACCACTGGTCCTCCCACACAGTTCAACAATTTCAAATTGATCTCATTACATAGGCAGCCTGAACTAAGCCAGACTCTACATAGGCTTTTGATTTAGAAAGCATCTTCAGGAAGCTCCTGCACAGTGTTTCCATCATCACATCCTCTGGGATTTTGTTAACAAAGACCTAATACTCTGAATTATCAAATCCATTGAATTTTTTCCCTCATTTTTCTTTCGATGGCAGTCTTTCCTGACATGCTGATTACCTGTAGCATCTTTCTGAAGCTTTCTGTTATGTTGGCTCTTTGCCTCCTTTTTTTTTTTTTTCCAGCCAAGAACCTGCTAGTGTTGCTCAGTTTCTATAGTAGCCATGTTCCCTAAGAGGAAACACAGTATACAGAATAGTCTGGGGATTTGGAATCACACTTGACTTAAAATCCTGTCTCCACTGGGAAAGTTACTTAGTATTTCTGAGCCTCAGCATTTATTATTATTATAAAATGTAGAAAATCATACCCATTTTACAGAACTTATATGAGGACAAAACAGATTGTTTAGGTAAAGCATCCAAACTGGCCTTTAGCCCAAACCTGGGTGATGACAATTTTTTCCCCCTTTTTGTTTTCTCCTCTGTGTGCTTTCCTCAGCACTGCCTTCTCGTTCCTTCTTCTAGATGTAGACTTTCCTACATATTCTTTCCCAAAGTGATTCCATCAACTTCTTTTCACCCTAGAAATAATCCCAAATATGTATCAGGATTTTCAGTCCTGCACTGATCTGGGTGCTAATCCTGGATTTTCAAAAGTGAATAACTCATTCTAAGATTGTCGAATATCTGCTCTCTTTCCTAATCTCTCTACTTAGAACAATACCCTTCTGCTGATAATGCCTAAACACAAAGGAGCAAAATGTAAACTTTCTGTACAAACTGGAACACCTCTGTGAAATCTTCTGGATGTCTCTTGAGTAGCCAACATCAACACCTTCACTAGTTTAGCAAGATCTTTCTCTCCCTGGAGTTTCTCTTGGTTCTTCTAGATCATTATCCCAGGATTAAGCTTCCTAAAATCTGCTGAAGTCAGTACTCTTAATCAACTCATTGCCTCTAGTTACAACCTCAGAACTTGATGTCAGAGCTTCCACCTTTAAGCCTTCACCTCTTTCTTCGTTTCTTGCCCCCAATAGTGTGTATCCTGTGCTTCCATCAAGAAATTGATTACCCAATGTTCCTTTGTGTTTTGTTGCTGTGATTTGCTCCTTCATGAGTGTCTTCCCATTCTGCCAGTCTCTTTTTGCTCATTTTGAAAGAATCAGCTTGAAAGGAAAAATTTTCCCCCCGTAGGATGTACATTTTATTGGAAGCTTTAAATACTTCTCAGACAGAACACAATGTTTTCAGCCAGGGTTCTCATGTGGCCAATAGAGAGAAGTAAACTTTCGGATTAGGGCCAAGGAGAGAGACGGCATGGAGGATGAGTGTTAAGCAGTTTAAAGGATCTTGACACTTATTGATGACAGCTGGTTCCATCCTTGGTCGCCTGTTCACTGCCCCACTGCCTCCTCCTTCCTTCCCAGTTCCTTCCCTCACTCTTCCCAACTGCTTCTTCCTGCCACACACAGGTCAACACTTACTAAACTGTTTTATCACAGAACACTTAAAAAAAAAAATCGTGGTGTGGAATGAGGTGACAGACAACACAGAGTGGCTTGACAGACCAATTAATCCTGTGAGAAATGGTCAGTAGTCAATCCAAAGTCTGTGGATAAACTCAGAAATCCCTCCACAGGCTGAGTCCTTATCTGTGTGCACTGTCAACCATTTCCTTTATTTTGCTTTCATTGCAGCACAGCGTAAAATTTCACTCCTTCCATGTAGAACAAAAAGAAAACATACTTTTGTTGTTTCTTGTTTGTTCTAGCAAATCAAGACTTATCTTTGAAATCCTCAATCTTTGTACTTCTTTGATTAAGAAGCTATCTTAGAAAATGAGACTCAGCTTTTTATTCTTTTTATTCCAACTTCCATTTTCAGCCAGAGATCCATAGAGAATGGGTTTATATACTAGTAATTTTTTTAAGATTTACTTATTTATTCATACAGAACTGGGGTACAGGCCGAGATGCAGAGGGTAAGAGGATTCACCATAGACAGAGTGGGGAGCAGAACAGGCAGATCGACGAAGTACACTGCTGAGGGGAGCAGCGGGCGGGTCAGGAGAGGTCTGCCAGCCATGTGGTCACCTCTGGGGCAGGCGGGAATTGAACTCTTGCGGAAGTGGCTTAAGCTTCTTTGTGCTGTGCTTTAACCCGCTGCGCCACCAGGGAGGGCCTATACTAGTAATTTTTAACATGCAACGGGGATGAACAGTATCACAAATGCATGTTGAATTTGTTTGATACAGACTATAGTTACTACAGATGAGCTAGGAGAGCAAAGGTCAGTCTGCTGAGATTTTGATTCATTCATGCAGCCAGTGACCTCTCCTGCCAATTCCGTGGCATTCTTAGTGTGGCACAAATTCCACACAGGCACATTACTGCCTGATGACCATGATGATGTGCAGTGTGTTTTCTTATATATCGTGCAGCTTAGATTAAAAAAGGCAGTAGCGCTGTTCTTCTTGCTGCGGGACACTCGTTATCCTCACTGGTAGCCAGACTTCCACAGAATATGGTATAGAAAACATTGCCCCAGGTACTGGCATTGGTTCATGTAATTTTGGTTTTCACCTACTAAGCCATATATCTAACAGTCACCTTGAAATTTTTCCTGGATCATCCCAATTTAAACAATACTTGATTTTGCATTTCCGTAATCACTGGCAGTGTTCCCTGTGTGCCCGGAGGAAAAAAGATGGGAGGGAGGGGGGAGAGAGAAAAGTCATACTAATTTGTACAACACTTCTTCTATTGTGTTTAGAGTGAGTGGTTCACAAAATCATTTACATAAAATTCCTTGTTTAAACCAAATATGGATATCATTGAAATTATTAATTTTAGGGGTTCATAGAACCCGAGACAGGCTTTCTAGTGACATTTAGTATATAGAAAATGTGTTTTTGCTAAGAAATATACTGGGACTATAAAAATAGTCATATAATCTTTATGATTGTACTTTTTTTGGTGAATATAAATTCTCAAATTATCTCCTGGCTTTCCCCATTCATGATTACTTTTTTCCTGGCCCAAACATCTGCTCAGGGAAGGAAATGGACTGGGGAGGTCAGTGGAATGTTATTGGGCTTCTTCCCTGGCATCCTGTCATTGATGGTGCTCATTACCTGTCTGCTTTATGTCTGCTTTGGGGCCTGAATACAATCTAGACTTGTTACCTGCATCATAGAGACTATCATTTTTACCCACGGCTTTGATTATTTCACAACGTGGCAGGAAAATCTTTTTGCAGGAGCTGTGGACATCTCCCCATCACTGCTCTGTGAGCAGGAGCAGAGTCCCTCAGCCTTCCTAATGAGCAGAATGCCGCCACGAGTGAGTTTTATAGGGTTTGCTTTCAAGCAAGCTTATGTTTCTCTGTTTTCTTCCTGCCCACCATGTGTTCTGATAGTTTCAAAGAAAGCATGGAGAAGTCATCACACTCCGACTGGCTAGTCAATAACAGTGTTGCTGAGCTGGTGGCATCCACAGGCCTCCCCGTGAACATCAGTGATGCCTACCAGGATCCTCGCTTCGATGCTGAGGTAAGAGGGGCCCTGTGGTCACACTCTGGATGTTTTGCTGGCTGAAGCAAAAAGGTGACTTCAGATAGGTCGATGGCAAGCCCTGAGTTTACTGGCAATTCCTGTGCATCTCTCCCCTGTGACCTGGATTCAGCATTGCTTACTGTTGACTGACAGGAAAACTTCCTATCCTCTCCCTTATTCATGGCAGTAAGTGGCTGTCTATTGTGTGTTTGTTAGGGGCACTTTTGTGATTGGGTGCATTTTATATTAAGTGTACTCATGTACTCGTATCCATGTGTTCAATGTATCCATGTCCATTTTATAATAAGCTATGAAATATTTAGTAATAAAAATGTGCCTATAACCCAGTTATTTCCCAACAGATGCCTGACAACTACCATATTTTAAAAAACTGCTCCCAAGAAACAGTAACTTTTTTGATGCTATTGTTAAATAGTGATTATATAGGCACATTGTGCTGACATACAGAATGTATTGAAAATACAGATTTTGACTTGCAGAAGTTTAAATTCTAAGGTAATACGGAGTTTCATAAAGATAAATTCATATGAACTTATGGAATGTCTCTACAGCTGTGCATGTGTGGGTGTAAGCAAATAAAATACAAGTTTCCTATTCCAAATTGCCAAGCTAAGATCTAAAAAGTACTCTGTGTGTGTGTGTGTGTGTGTGTGTGTAAAGGAGAGGAGGTTTGTGCTCCAGGAGAAGCTGAGCAAGCTTGGGGAGTTGGGGAACTGAGATGAGATATATGTGACTTAGGGCTGAGTAGATGAGGCTGGAGAGGGAAAGGCTTTGAAAGCCATGGTAAGAGGGACTCATTTTGGTCAATGGGAAACCAGCTGCTATATATATATATATATATATATATATATAAAAGGAATTC